CGATGTCGTCGTGCTTCCCGCGGGGCTCGGCCAGCAGTGCGACCCTCTAGCATAAGCCCAACCACCCTGACTTCCGGCGAAATTCCCAATGTCGTAATGGGGACATTGGCCGCCTACTCGCGACCAGCCCGCAGGTTGGGCACGCCTGGCCCCAATCGTCCACACCACACGCAACCTGTGCGCTGGCATGGCGCATGCTGCCCCTGCTCCGCCCACCCGGGGGGTTGGTCGCAGCCGCTCCCCTTCTCCGGCGATATGTAACTCACCCCTTCCGCCACTTCAACCTGCGCAGAAAGGGGGGAAAAAAGTAGGAGAATTTCGCGAGAGCACGCAAATTGGCAAGCACTTTTTTTCCCCTCTCGTCTGCTCTCCTCTCCCTCCCTCTCCCTCCGTGTCTCTCTCTCTCTCTCTCCCCCCCCCCTCTCTCTCACTCACTCACAGCGCGTGCACACACGCACACATACGTGCGCACACGCGGTGTAATATAGAAAGATGGCTGACGAACCTGATGACGGCATGGGTAAGAGAAAGGCCGTGAAGGCGCGCGTGGGAGAGAGAGAGAGAGAAAGAGAGAAAGAGAGAGAGAGAGGGATGGAAGTGCAGGCAGGGGTGAATGTAAAGACAGATCGAGAAAGAGGGGATGATATGGGCTGGTGCCGGAGCAGGGAAAAGAGGCGAGATGAGAAGGGTGGAGAGGGGCGGGGGCGACGGAGAGCAGGGGCGGTGGCGTAAGTTGTAGGAGTGAGAGACACTCTTGTGTTTCGAAAAAGAGTAGTCGGCACTGGTGGCAAAAAGCAGGGGAAGGGATAAAAAACAAGGGGAAAAGAGTGTTTCAAGTTTTCCCCTTATTCTATTCTGTCTTTTCCTGTTTAGGAACTGGAATCAATAGTGCCCGCAGTCCAAGACGTTTCTTGGCGCACTAATTACGGCTGTAATCTAAGGTTGGACGCAGAAAATCAACAAACGTTCAGCAGCCCGATTTTACTGATGGCGGGACCCGGACACTTTGATTGAGAACATTAGCAGGAAAGAGAGTTCAGGCGACGAGGATTACCTGAAGTGTGACTGTGACTGACTATGTATGCGTCCGAGGTGGTGCGGGCCCTGCTCTAATGATTACCCACGCTCTCAGGTGTGCCGTACGTTCGGTGCACCCCCGCTCCGCCCCACCCCGCTCGCCTCGCAGGCGGGATAATGATTTCTCCCCCAAGTAATGATGCTTGTTGGCCCCCGTATTCACACGTCTAGTCGTCTCACAAGTCCTCAGGCCTGCCAGCCAGCATGCATGCACACTTCTCTTTTCTGTCCCTACCCCCCGCACCCCCTTCTCACTCCCCCGAAAATAAAAAGAGGAAGGAAGAAAAAAGAGGAAATGCTCCCCGTACCCTATGGAAAAGTGTTGTTTCATCCCTGAAAAACCCTGAAAAGAAGGTTCGTGGCACCGTCAAATTACTTTCATAATTAAGTGTCCCAACAGTATGGGATAGGTTCCAAGAACAGAAAACAAACTAAAGCAACAAAATTCAAGAATTAAAGGACTGTATCGGTCTTGGCATATCATACCGCCATTCGATCTACTAGCTCACTAAATAAATATCGCACGAAATTGATATTTACACTGAAAGTTACTCTAAGTAACAACAAGTATGTGTATGTGTATAACATATGTTACATTCATAATTTTACGTTACCATGGTTACACAAAGTGGTGTTATGTAACAAATGTTGCATAAACTATAATACGTGACAGCTTTTGCACTACTAACCATGCCCGCAAGCATAGCTATATATTTTTTAGCCACTACCCAGTAAACCGCACCGTTTATTACCTTTGTAGCTAATGCCACTTAGCTCTACAGCTAAATATTTTTACATCCAGCTAATTTTTTTGCACGGGTGTAAAATTGTGCAGTTAAACCGATTTGCACGGAACTGAATTTTATTTTTCTGCGTGGTGTGATCACACCCTAGAGAATGTGACTCGAGTCACACCCTCTACCGCGCCCTCCACACTGCAGTGTGACAGAAGTGTGCAACTGGTATGGTAGTGTCCAACTCCATGGTGAACACAATTAGGTGTTGGGCTGGAAAATAGAATAATTATAAGTTAGTACCAGAAAATTTGAACACTTTTAAGTGTCCAAAGCTTCGAGCCAACCATGAATTTGAACATTTCAAAATGTGCAACTATTTAACACTGTTTTGCGTTTAAATGTCTAATCAAACACATAAAAGTGTGAACGTACGAAGTGTTGGACACTTGCATGTGCATTGTGCACGTCAGTTGCACACTTTATTTTCCAGTGTAAAAAAACTTTTGACAAATCTTGTTTGAAATAGTAATGTGAATCTGGTGGTTATTGGTTTTTGAAGTCATTAATTTACAAAATTTCGATGAACTAAATCTTGTACGGTCATTTGTTATTGCAGTTATCTATGCAGTTTTCGTTACTGGGGACGTTGGAGCCAGACCTAGGGGTCCTACGCATCAAAGCAAAATTTCAAAGAAACGGCATTGATGACTATTTTCTAAATGAAAGACAGTGCAGTATTTTAAGATTATATAATCAAGTACTGCGATGG